GTGTGCACTCTGATACCTCTAACTAATCTCCTAGCAACACTTTTTCCCTGAGCTGAGATGCCTTGATCAGCGCATTCAGAGTCGCAGGAGAAAAAGGAAAGAATTTTTTTGTAGCCAACCACCTACAGCTTTACTGTAAAACCTTGTCTTACTAGAAAACTTGGTAAATCTGTTTTTTAAAGGTATCATAATCATTTGTATTTATACTTAAAACACACAATGTTAAAAAGCACTTTATCCAATTGGGCCAAGATTTAGCATTGTTTATAGCCCTGTAACTATTTTATCATAATTTATTATCGGCGATTTTAACAGTGTCGGTCTAACAGTTGCCAATTGCTTGGCCTTAAGGGTAAAAGTACAGTACAAGCTTAACCTCGATAGCAAGAATGGGCACAAAGAACACCTCACCTGAATCTTAACTGCGTGCATATTTTCGCGGAAAGTCAAAATGAGTTACAGACTTGGATTGTGTTTAACCTTTTCATCTCTCTTATGGAGTTGGAATAAAGAGATCTGTTTGGTTATTTCAGTTAACAGCGGTTGTGTTTAAGAATCCTTATTCGTCACATTTTTGTTGTGATCTGTTGCTTTATAAGTTAGGTTGGATACCAGGAGCATCTTTCCTTGCTAACCGCCCAGGACCCCCCGCCTGCTCTCTGTATTTCGGCAATGGACTCAGAGTGTTCTTAAGAGGTGAAGATATTGCTGCTTCTTTCAGTGAGCCACCAGCTGGGTTTTACAGTGTGAGTAGGTGCTGTGCGGCTGCCGAGATTGGTTACTTCTTCTGGGCAGCCAAACAAACAAAAACAGAAAGGAAAAGCGAAGGAAAAAGCACCGTTATATGGATTGTTGTACATAGTGTAGCAAAAGAGTATTTATACATCTCACCAATCAAAACACAGCTTTATTACCTCATGCGAACTCATACGAACCAATAGACTTTCAACATGTTCTGTAGCTTAGAGTGCTCACTTACTACCTCTGAACGATACTCACGCTGTAGTTTGTCTCTTTCTTATCTTTTTGCATCTTGTAACTAACTCTTTGTTTCCCTCATAAATTGTAATGTACATTGTAATCTTTTAAAAGAATCAGGGTTGCGTTTGCAACTTTTAAAAGAGCTGAAGTGGAAACATTGGGTCTTAGGTTTAACAGGACAGTGAAACTGTTGTAAATACTGAGAAACATTTTGAATGTTCTTCATCTTGTTACTAATCCACGCAAAAAATACAACTAATTGTAATGCATACAGACTTCAGTATCAGTACTGTATATTCACCCTGTGTAACAGGGGGCCCTTTCTTTCTCTCTTTTGTATTGTATGCGATTCTGAAACTGATTGAGTCATGAAAATAATTTGTGGCAGTGATTCTAATGTATTAAAACGTTTCGTGTTACTTTCTAACTGGATTACACCCTGGATTGAGAAGTCTTCCTCGTGGTAGTTATATGTAGTTTCAAACATGAATAAACTTTTTGCTTTCATGATCAAATTTTGATGTAATTTCTTCCAGCTCAGTTTAAATCAGGCCTGAGCAGAGCGAGCTGCAGAGGTGCAGCTGCCGTTGCAGGAGTTCAGCGTGGCTCAGGACGGGCGGAGCGGCGCGCAGGAGCTCAGTGGCAGTGAGCTGTGCTGGGGCTCAGAGCCCCGGCCTCCACCTGTGTGCTGTGCTGTGTGGGAGCGGAGGGAGAGAGGGGCTGTGGAGAGGGGCAGTCCTGGAGATGCACTTAAGGAGCGCCATCGCATTCACTCTTAATTACCGCTTCGTTTAACGTTGACTTTGAAACTACAACCTCAGCTAGCGAGTGTAATGTGATTATAAAAATATTTTTCTTTATTAAAAAAACTTTTTTGGAAGGGCATATATATATAAATGCTAATTTTAAGTCTTTTTAATAAAGTAAAGGTCAATAACAGGTAATAGCCTATTTACCATATCTCAAGGAAATTGACTCACAGGAAATCAAATTAACGTTAATCACTTGCAGCAAATGGTCTCTGATAGATAGAACTCCTTACTCCTTTGGTAGCAGCAGAAGGAGGGCTGCCCGTCCCCGCTGCGCTCATCGTGCTTCCTCCCCAGCAGCTGCTGCAGTCTTTAGGTGTTGTTTTGGTGGCAAAATGATAATTTGCATGATTTGGTTGGCTTGTGGATCAGCTTTTCTTATCAACAGTTCTTGGACTGAGTTATTCTGTGAAGTCCCTTTGCTCACTCTCTCCCCCCAGTGCCACACTCACCTCCGTCTGTGTCCTATGGCACAGATGCCCCTCTTGCTCTTCTGCCCTTGTTTGCTGAGCACACACATCTTCTCGTTCAGTTTTAGAACTGAATGTTGCTTCTTTCACTACAGGTGGTGCATTTAGATCAACATGTAAATAGCTAGAGGCACTGCACAGCTTCACTGCCAATGATGAAAGAGGGCTGAGCGGGGACTGTGGACTTCTGGAGACTTCTGCATGTGGATGAGGCACAACAGAGCGCCCTGTGCTTGCTGCTGGAGCTCCCTGAGCCCACGCGCTCTCGGTTTATGCTCCAGCTCAATGGAAACAGTGTTTTAAATGTAAAGTGTGTCAGTGGAGGCAGAGGCAACATAATGAACACGCAGACGTCCCTCATCTTGATCACATCTCTGCTGGCCACAGGCAAGGACCTGTCATGCACAGAGGAGGTTCATGGGAAGGCCATCAACAACCTTTGGGCCACGCTCACGTGCCCCACGCCTGCTGGGCATCATTAGCGTGCTGCTTTACAGCATTAAAGCTCTGGGTCCCTCTGAGTTACAAGTGCAATTTGGCCTTTCCTTGCGTTGGATAACAGCCACATGGTTACATGGCCAATAATAAACACTTTATCCTTGAGGCTTGATTACACATCAGAGAGGTTTACTGCCAGTACCAGTGTTGGGATCAGCGCCGTGTTCCGCCCAGCAGAGACAGTGGGCTGTCAGAGCCCTCCAGCAGCACTGCGAGCTGCTGGGCTGTGCAAGTGTCACCACAAGCTGTTGGTGTGCGAGCATCACCAGGAGCTGCAGGAGCCCTGTGCCGCTGGCTTGGAAGTGGCAGAGGGGCACAGCCGCCATCCCCATGGCCGTCCTTCCGTCTGCTCAGAGTGCCAGTTGGGCTCGCAGAGCACAGCGGCACTGGCTGGGTCTTGCAGCACCTCCCATCACCCCGGTCCTGGCCCTGTGCTCCCTGTACAAGGCTGTGCCGGGCTCCATCCCCACTCCCACCCTACACACTCCGTGTGGGGCAGTGGCACAGGGCAGGACAGCACGGCAGGCGGTGGAAGGACGATCTGCCCCTGCACTACAGCAGCTCCCAGCGCCTCGGACGCAATGGAGGATGCTCTGCGCAGGACGAGAAGTGTTGAGGACATGGAGGCCCTCTGGCACGGAGGGGCACAGAGCGATGGGACGGGGCAGCTCCGCCAAGGGCTCACCTTGTGCTACTCGGGGCTGCGCCTTCTGCAAAGGCTGCACAGGAGCCGGATGTCAGATGCTGGTGTCAGTATCTGTGCCATGTATTTCCAATGTGATAAAAAAACTGAAGACGTTTCCAGTTTGTGTTAATAAAATACATCTTTTTAAAGAATGGAATTCTTTGAAGATTGGCAAATTTTATTTTGTTTCATTAGCTTTAATGTCACTGCCATATGGACTGTGAAGAAAAGTGAACCATTAGATTGGAGGGACTGAGTTATCAGCGTGACACAGAAAGCGCTGATACAATTGTTAAGGATAAGCCCTGGGAGTGATTTATTGCATGCATTGTATTAGCCACAGAGGAGTTATGATATGCTCCCCATTCCTGTATCATATTAGGGTTTTATTAGTCTAATATGACATGGTAGTATAATATACGATTAGAATTCCCATCCAGTCCCCTGGAGAGAACGACACGGGCTGAGCCCTGCATCACTGCTGGCATAACCCCACTCACCGAAAGTTCCCCTTCTGCAACAAATGCCAAAGATGAACTTCTCCTCCAGGCCCCCCCCGGGCTGCCCTCCCATGCACTGCCAGAGCCCCAGCTCTGAGTCGGGCTCTGCAGCACCGCCGTCGCAGCGCACTTTGCTTCCAGCAGCAGTGCGGAATGAGGGCTGGCACATCAAAGCGCTGCTAGGTGATAACTCCCCAAATCTGTATCAAAGCCCATTTGATCATCTTCCTGTCACCGATATAACAAAAAAGATTAATTTTAATTTATTGGAGACTGCCAAAACTCTCACGTGGCAACAAATTTAAGAATCTTGTTTACAGGGGCTAATTAAAACCAATTAATTTCATTAATATCTGCAGCAACTAATGTGGGCGCGGGTGCAGGAGCACTCTGGGCCACATGGGGCCGTGTCCTTGGGGGGCAGAGCCCTCATGGGGGTCCCTGGGAGTGCCCTGCCTGGAGTTCCCCCCTGCCTCTGCCTGCCCAGAGCCCAGAAGAGCTTTGGGCCACTCCTTGCAGTGCGGGGTCACCCATTAATGCCATCTATTGGGATAATAAAGGGCTGCATTTCGGGTGGTAAAATTCAGCGTAAAGAGCACGCGCCATTAAACGCGGAAATCCAAAATTTTATTGCAATCTGCTAGATCTGAGCTGACGCCAATTAAACAAAAAAGATATCATTTATAAAAAGGCAGAGTTCAAGTTGTATTAAATATGAAATGCAATTTTCTGCCGGTTGTGATTTATTACTGGTGGTACATTGTTCAAAGAAGCATGTTATGTTTCAATAGAGAAATATTGTTTATTCATTAATATTTTAAAACTTGCTTATTGCTGTGTATGGCTCTCCTGCAGAATGAAACTTATGATTTAAAACATGAATTAATAAACACATTTGAAAGTGTTAGACAATATCATAACCACTCATTTTTCATTTTACCGAGAGCATATTAAACTTTTATAATTCTGTGTGCTGTTATTTTCCAAAGAAAGGTATGAAAGCTAATTTCAGGTGGGGTGGTGAGGAAGCAGAGCCCTGTGCCGAGGCTGGGTGGGGAGGCTCTGTGTCCCCGCCATGCTGTGCTGGTGGCAGCCCCACACCCGCGGGGCGCATCGCCCTCCACCTGCAGCGTGCGCTGCGTTACCGTGCGAAACGTCTGATAGAGGCTGACATCCTAAATGAGGCCGAAAATCTTTTATACAAAATGTGATAAAGCACTAACGATCCCGGAGGCCTCGGGTTACCTTGCTTATTACCTGCACCCACACTGGAATCAGCAGCATTAAGGGGGCCAGACCCAATCCGTAGCACCTTTGAACTCATTAGTCCCGAGCACTTCGTACAGATGAGCCTATCGGAGCCTTCATTGGAAAGAACCTTTCTTGTATCTTAAAGTCTCTCCTGCCGCAGCCTTGGTGTATTACCATAACAATAAGCAGTATTTCAATTTTAAGAACTCATTTTTCCTCAAATAGAAAGTGCCAATCAATTTAAGGAGAGGGAGATGCGCACCGGGGAAGCAGCGAGGCATGGCTCCGGCCCGGAAACGCCTCCGGTGTGACACAGAGTGGGGCTGCCCACAGTGTGGGGGCTTCACCCTGTGACCTTCGTCCGCACCGCCACAGGTGGCAATAGGAGCAGGCACAGGAGGTGGCACAGGAGCAGGATGGAAAGCTGACGTTTGGAGAGCTTCCCCAACTGCTGCCATCACAGTGCCGACAATGCCATGCTGAATGCTGGCAGACATGCGCCTCAGGCGCAGTGCCTGGCAGGCATGGGGGGCACAGGGAGCCCTCAGGAGCCCCTGACACCCAGTGGGCACTGGGTGGGTTCCTGTGGGATGCAGCTCAGGGGAGTCTCGTTCTGCCTGTCAGAGTGGCTGGTGCTGGATGTATGCTGGCTGTGTGCTGGCTCTGCACTCAGGGCCATGGCAGCAGCATTCTCCCAGGCCTGGCCACCCGCACTGCTGTGCCTGATGGATGGTGCAGGTGGTGGGCAGCTGTGTGTACAATGGAGGCCTCGCATCTGACAGCATAATGTAAATTAACTATTCACTTCTTTGTTGGGCAAAGTGAATCGGCAAACCTTATTACTCCTGATCAGTCAATTAATTAAAGTTCAGTGCTTAATCAAGTTCCAGTGGTCATACATGGGGCACAGGGATTTCTCTCTCCTGAGCACTGTGACCGGAGGTGGACAAGAGGTGGCTGTGCAGTGTATCAGCCCCAGCTCTGGTGCTGGGAGCACAAGGCCCATGGTGGACACAGGGTGTCGGAGCGGGGTGTGCGGGGTGCTGCTGTGCAGGGGGTGCTGTGGTTCCCTGGGCAAAAAAATGTCTTCCAAAGGCACCCGGCTGCACATTTCAGTAGCTCTCAGGCCCATCCATAACTCAGAAGGAGATGCTGTCCAGCGCACACGGGCAGGGATTCAATTAGATTGCTCTCTCCAGCTCTCTCCCCAAGAACATGGCACAAGAAGCAATCTCTCTTTTTTGAAGAGTGCAATAACAGAGTGCAATGGAAATGAGTCAAAGACACTCAGAGAGCAGGATC